AGTCTAGTTGAGAAAACCCAATTTATTGCTGAAGCTTTGGATGCAGGAAGTCAAGTTGATGTATATATCGATTTTTCCAAAGCTTTTGATCGGCTTGATCATAGGTAATTTATTAACATTGAAATTGGAGTCATATGTTATCTCCACTGCTCTGTTATCTCTGTTTAAATATTATTTTAACAACAGGTACCAATTTTTTCAGTAGTGGCTTTCATTAATGTAAGTTCCATCAATCTTCAGGAGTTCCGCAAGGATCAACCCTGGGGCTGCTGATGTTTGTTATTTTTATTAATGACTTATCTGAATGCCTCGATGTCAACTATTTTCTCAACGCGGACGATCTGAAGTTGTTCTTGGAAGTTAAATCTTCTCAAGATAATCTTGATAGATTACACAGTTGCTGTTCATATAATAACCTTGAATGTAAGCAAATGTAAAATTATGTCCTACAATCGACGCAAAACCAATCTAAATTTTGATTATAAAATAGGTGAATCTTTCCTAAATATAGTTACGCAATTTACTGACTTTGGTATCACATTTGACTAGATTATCGTTTGACGACATTAGCTTAGTAACCAAATCTGCTTATAAGAATTTAGGCTTTATTTTGCCTAATTCTAAGGACTTTCAGAACGTAAAGGTTCTAAATAAATTGTATGCAGCATTTGTGCGTTGCAAACTTGAATATGCATCGGTTGTTTGGAGTCCCATTTATAATGTTATATTCAACTGGAGAAAGTGCAACGGAGATTTTTAAAGACTATTCATTTGATTAGTTATGTATTTTATCCTCCTCGTGGTACACCTCAAGAAGTATTGCTTTCTTGTTTTAATTTTAATAGTCTTTGTCGTAGGAAAATTATGTTTTCAATTATATTCCTTTTTAAAATTATAAATAACACTTTAAATGTAGATTATCATTATTACGATAAATATGTCACCTCGTACTTCACAAATGTGAACATCCAATGAATATTAATGTGTAATTATCTAGTCACTTGTCCCACTATCAAAATTTAATTCCGTTCTTAGAAGCAGTCAACAAAAACGGCCCAGGCGAAACGATATTAAACTGTGCCGCGGAAAAAATCCTCACAAGCCCACTACAATACATCGCATGAAATCTGGATGAAGGGTTGCCTAAACTACAGGCTCAAGCTCGGGCTGAAGCATATTGCGTATAATATTGCATTTAGTGCAAACTTGTAAAACTTGTAGCTCCTAGTGGAAGAAATAGATGATGTAATTGTTAAAAACTAAACGTTTTTGCACCAACTCTAGTTCGACATACTGTACTGTCTACGCCTCGCCTTGTGGTTGGATTTTATTGAAATAATTTGTTGGGGTCCCCGGCTAGTGAGACTCTTGGGAAGGCGTAGAACGTTGTAATGCTGAGAACACTAATTAATATTTGACGAACTTATTAGCTTTCTTTTGTTTTAAGCGAATTCTTTTTTGGGTTGAGACTTTTTGTAAAAAAGTCACAAAAACTTTCGTAGAATAAATAAAAGTCGGATTTATGGATTTAACGTGGCCCGAGATTCAGTTGTCGATTCGTTTGTGGAGTGCGGTGTAATATGGCTGACTAAAACAACTAAAGATTTAAAGATTCGAAAACTCAAAAATAAATGCAACTGCCGAACTAGTGCTATAATTGCTACTGACTGCTGTATGACGACCGCGAGGTGGTCTAATTAATTTTGGTCGGACGGGGGACTGAACGCCGTTCGCCGCTGCCTGCGACGTTCTGTAGGGCCCCCTGCACGGAGCGATTTGTGCTCGTTTTACATTAGAATTAATGTAAAATCCTTGGTTCCGTGACAGTACCAGGCAAAGGTATATCGTACCGAAGGGCACAAACGCAACTATCACCGATTTGTAGGTACACCTTGCGTGGCCATACAAAACCATAACGAGCGGTCTCGCCATGTTATACGGCTCACGTTATCTCTCAACAATGAATTATAATGGGCACCATTATAATGCACCGAAGTTATTCAAATCATACGATGACAAATCAGATTAAGCGACAACTTGTAACCGATACGATCGAAATTTGTGATTAAGTCCAGAGTGCCATGCCATACGTGGGCCCCGGGAACATTTCTCAAATTCTACGATGTATCATGTTATTTAATTGCTTTAGATATGCACTGAGTGGTTTTTCTCGATACCATCGTGTGGTTATAAATCAAGATCGTTTTTTATAGATGTAGGCTGGATGTAAACAAAATACTTTCCACTCTTATAGCAGACATCGATCTAAATTCCTAACTTCTGTTTATATGCTTACCAATTATTATTGGGTATCGTCAAAAGGAATATCCACTGAAGTACTAAAAAGAACCTTCAGCATCTCAGAAGAATTTTAAGGGCTTGATAAAACAGGCCGACAAGATTTTAACCCAACAACACGAATACACTTTCCCAAAGAATTTTGGTGCGCTAAATCCGAATCCAGGGTCGAAATTTCTCAATTGGCTCTGGTTTTCGAGATATCCTAAACTAAAAGTGCGAAATCGCAATTTTTTGACATATTTGGGGTTATGTAACATGGAAAGGTAAATTTTTTGCAATTTTTATGCATTTTATCAATCTGAAAATACATTTACACGCAAAAGAGGCTAATACACTCAATCTCGAACACATAGGGTTTTGGGGCTTAGGGTTGATGAGTTCGGGATTAGCCTCTTTTGCGTGTAAATGTATTTCCAAATTGATATAATGCATAAAATATCGAGTTTTTAGACATTTTTTAAGTTTATTGCAAAATTTGAGGTGATAGAGTATTTTGGAGTTCAGATTCATGATCAGCGACCTCAAAAACATTTAACATCCCTACTTCCGGGTGCAGATGAATTTAGGTTTGTGGTACTGTGTTGTCAGTACATTAAAAAATCGAGAAATAAGTCACCCTACTAAATTTCAATAAGTATGCGATTTCTCAAAGACAAAAAATGATATCGGGATAAATCCAAGTGCGTTATAAAGAATAAGTATAGTACTTTAAGCCCCATTCTAGCAAAAAAATGTAACTATCCATGTAACATAACCTCAAATATGTAAAAAAAATCGCGATTTTGACCCTTTTAGGTTAGGATATCTCGAAAACCAGAGCTAATTGAGAAATTTGGATATCGGATTTAGCGCACCAAAATCCTTCAGAAAAGTACATTCTGCCATTCTGGTTTCTGATTTTATCGACCTGTGTCGGATTATAATCAACAATAAATTATTTAAAAAATGTTTTTTCTGTAAAAATTTTTCAGTATACTACCTATTTAAATATTAGCTATGCTCTATTATTAAGCTCTAATTATTATGATCTATATGTTTCAATATTAAGCAAAGATTGTCAGTAATTTAATAATAAAAATTCGGTTTTTCTGATATTTGGTACCCACCTATTTTATAGCTAGATATAGCCGTAGAATAATGTTTTTTTTTTATTAAATGGTACCATGCATATTTTGAATCCCGTACATTGCCTTGTAATTAATATACAGGGTAAGTAAATGAAAGCGAATGGGACATACTTCAAGATAGGCTTTCATCCGGTTCAAATTATGTTATTTTAGTACAATTTTGCTTCCTTCAAAAGTTACGTCCTTAAAATGGTAGGTATTTGTTTACTTGTTTTTAATATAACACAGTGTCAATTTTCTGCAGTTATCAATTAAACGTCAATATTTTGGTGGAGCCACGCATTCTAAAACCGGTTCCAGATGTATCGATGTACAGCATCAACACTATATGGCATTGACTTAACGTTTAATAAATACATTTGGCAAATGATCTGGAGACAACTTAAGAGCTACAACTCATTGAACGCTGACATTTGATTATAATAGTCTAAAAAATGAATAGTGATAAAATATTGAATAGAGCTTAAACTTAGCAAGAATATCAATTAGGCTAGAATGTCCCAAAAATTCAGTTGTCCGTAATTGACAATAACAGACAGCAGTAGAAAATTGAATTTCATTCTCTTTAAAACGAGGTACCTTCTAAAAAATGAGTGAAAAAATAATTTGTAGGCTCGTAACTTTTAAGCAAAATTATATTTAATTTGAATTAAATCGGTTAATTTTAATCTAAGTAAATTGCCTTATTCTTGAAATACTGCCCATTTGCTTCCAAACAGTGTAAACATTTTGTAGAAAAAAGTAAAAGTTTGTTCATGTTTGTTTTCGTTTCATCAAGTCAAGTGTAAATTTTGACAAAAAACTGGGTAAATACACAAATACGGTTAATGGCTTTGTGATAATAATTTAACTTTAATAAACTAGATTTTTGAAAGAATTAATATCCACTCCACAAATTGCAAAACAAATAAAGAATGGAGGCCGCTCACCGGCTAAGTTTAAAAATGTAAACAGCTTACCTTTAAACCAGCCCGAGATAATCCCAGTTTTGTGAAAGAAACAAAGCATTACATCACAACAGAAATACAAAACATCACCTAAAACACCATCGGCTTGCATAATTCACTGAAACCGTTAGTTTTTGTGAAAATATCTTCCGCGGCACCACGAAAATACCTTGAGCCTTGAGCGGACAACCCGTCCTCTACAAGAACAAGAACTGAATTTAGAAGCTAGCGTTCGCGAAGGACCGGCAAGAGTCGCCGTGCAACAGGTGGCCATATTGGCTCAATTGGGAATTGGGATAGGTAGGGAATTATTAATAGAAGGGTCGCTGTTTCCCTGCTTCGGGTTCTCCACTTTTCTTATGTATTTTGATGACAATATCGCATCGTTATATGCAATTTGTCAGGTTTCTTTAATTTCCATCCATCTTATGACTTATAGAATTAATTTATTTTTAAACAAAATAAATGGTTATTTCACAATATTGAACAGTAAATGTGCCAATAATTAGGTAATATGAAATGAAATAACTCGTATCTATCTATTAACAACACTGCAATAATAAATATTTGATATTATAAATAAATATAATGCGACATCAGGGTAGGCAACTAATAATACAGCAATGTGATATAATTTGCATTCGTTTTAATAAAGGATTAACAATTGATAGCCTGAATTGTGAATACTTGAATATCAATTTTTTATTAATAATTACATAGAGACACATTCATTTCTTTTTCTGTCCACTCTTCAAGGTATAAAAGACAAATAGATTATTGCTGCTATGTACGTCAAAAGTGCCGCTTTTCGACCTGCAGTGTCTAATTCCGTCTTCTAAAGCATTGACAACAAATTCTACCAAATCGGGTTTTGCATTTTGTGCCAGGAAACCTATCCTAATAGCTTTGTCCAATGTGGGTCCTATACCCATGCCCAATTCTATTTCATGTCTAAAATACGTCAAAAATTGAAAGTAAGAACAACAATTCGTTGGTTATAATTAATTAATTTATTATATTAATTAATATCTATAGGCTATTGACATTGACTATGTCAAAAAAAAGAGGGTACAAAGGAACTACAACGTAACAGAAATTTTATTGTTTGATATGTTCAATTGACCCTAAAAAATGATAAAACCGCGGAGTGCTATCTTTTAAAGGGGTGCGTTTTTGAAAACGAAGTAAAAAGGTGGTATGTTCAGTTTTTTGAGTTTTACTCGAAAACTGTGCATTTTTTCACTATAGTTGTCAACCGAAAAGTTGTAGCAAATTGAATTTCCCATCGAAATGAGACCTGAAGTCAAAAAAATTATTTTTAAGAAAAATATGCCCAAAAACGAGTAAAAAAAACGAAAAAATGCGTTGTTTTTTTATTGGTTCTTGGCCTACAACTTTTTTCTGAGTGGAGTTAGGTATAGGCATTGCTTCACAGAAAAAAAAGTTCATGTTTTTTCCTTTAAAATAAGCGTTTATAAAAGCACCTACGACTAATAGAAACCGAGATACATTGAATCAAAGTTGTCTACTTTTTGGATTTTTGGCCAATTTTTGCCCTTTTTTGACGATTTTCGTCTTATAACTTTTTTCCGAGTTAATTTAGATCTATGTAATACGATATGTGGTAATACCATATTCAAATGAAAGCTGGTTTCAAGACCTTTAAAATAGTGCCTGGTAGAAGTTTGTACAATTAAAATCAACCGAGATATGTCAATTTTACCAACGATACTTTTTCTTATTTTTATAAAATTTTTATTACTTTCGGTATTATTTTGTCTAATAAATTTATTTTTGTGAATTTGAAAGTTAAAATAAGTTTCTAGGTGATTGGATATTATTATTTATTTATTTATTTAAACAACAATTAATCATATTTATCTTGTAAAATTTCGAATTATTTTAATTATTTTTGTACTTTTAATTAAAAAATTCTTAAAATTACAGTTTTATAAAGAGCCAAAAGCTCCTAAAAAAGTGGATATTAATTCGTCCTCCTGCATAACATAAAGTATGCACTTAATTGTTGTATTATTCATCTCTCTCAATTGTATCCTCGTTTGAAAGCTCGTGAAATGATTTTGATTATGTAGATATCAGAATACTAATAATTTCGAATGACGCGGTTTCGCGGATGGTAAATAATCTTGATTCGCATGCGTTGGTAATGGGGATCTACCTTTACCTATTATTAAAACCTAGTTACAGTTGATCGGCGTAGTTCAAAAATTGACAGCCTAAAAACTTGTCGATATAAATTATTTCAAAAGTATGCAAAATTTACCTTATCTCGATTGCCTCCAACAACTGATGCTCTCAAACATCATGGGTTAAGAGTATATTTTCAGATGCAACAGTGGAATGGTTGTACTTTAAATTCCCATGATTGGGGTTGGAAAAATTCCATAAATGGGCTAGTTCCCATTTTTAATAATAAATCTCCTGCACCTGAAAATTAACTTGAAAAAATAGCCTGTAAATGTATTAAAGGATGCCAAGGAAACAGTGGCTGCCGAAAGTTGGGAATAAAATGTTCAATGTTCCGCAAATAATGTATGGGAATAAATTGTGAGACTGCTTATGAGCCTGAGTTTTCTGAAGAGGACATTGATAAAATGATGACGACGAAATTGATATTAATATTGAAAATATACTAAATGAAACTGAAAATTTATAAGATATATATGATTAACTGTTGTTTAAATAAATAAATAAATAATAATATCCAATCACCTAGAAACGTATTTTATCTTTCACATTCACAAAATTAAATTTATTAGACAAAATAATACCGAAAGTAATAAAAATTTTATAAAAAATAAGAAAAAGTATCGTTGGTTAAATTGACATATCTCGGTTGATTTTAACTGTACAAACTTCTACCAGGCACCATAAAGGTCTTGAAACCAGCTTTCATTTGAATATGGCATTATATATACCTAAATTAACTCAAAAAAAGTTATAAGACGAAAATCGTCAAAAAAGGGGCAAACATTGGCCAAAAATCCAAAAAGTAGCCAACTTTGATCCGATGTTTCTCGGTTTCTATTAGTCCCAGGTACTTTTATAAACGTTTATTTTAAAGGAAAAAACATGAACTTTTTTCTGTGAAGCAATGCCTATACCTAACTCCTCTCAGAAAAAGTTGTGGGCCAAAAACCAAAAAAAAACGCATTTTTTCGTTTTTTTTTTAATCGTTTCTTGGGCATATTTTTGTTAAAAATAAATTTTTTGACTTCGGAAGGTCTCATTTCGATGGGAAATTCAATTTGCTACAACTTTTCTGTTGACAACTATATTGAAAAAATGCATAGTTTTCGAGTAAAACTCAAAAAACTGAACATACCACCTTTATTTCGTTCTCAAAAACGCACCCCTTTAAAAGGTAGCACTCCGCGGTTTTATCATTTTTTAGGGTCAATTGAACATATCAAACAATAAAATTTCTGTTACGTTGTAGTTTCTGTCTAAAGTACAGTCGATAACCTACTAGATTATAAAGCCTCAACGCTTTTCGGATGACATCACTAAACAATAACGCTTTAGAGGCTTTTACCTTTTATGGTAACGATAACAGTTATGTTCACTGAACAAAAATACTTACTTAGATAAAAGGTACTCGCAGAATTCATGCCAGTCTACATCTTCGGGAAGAGTAACGCAGTTGACTCCGCAAAACCTATTTTCAGGTTTTTCTATGAAATGGCGAATTCCCAATTTTTCAGTTTTCTTGATGAACAAATCGGAACAATCTTGATGGCGTTTCCAAACATTTTCAATGCCCTCTTCACAGATTTCCGCTAATGCTTGTCTCACAGCCGCAAACATATTAGTGTTGAATGTGTAAATGTAACTGAATACGAATATCGAGTAAATTAAAGAATAATTATTCATAAAATTCGTATTTTGAAGAAAAAAAAGTATGATGAAAAATTTAAAATAGCAACCAACGAAATTGTGAATAATTCAATGACGTATCAGTTGTATACTTTTGAGAGACATGGAAGAATTTATAGCAATAGTAATTTACAGTAAGAAAAATAAATATGTAAAATTTAATTGATTAATCTTTTTTGTGTTGGAACAGCTTATAAATAACAAATATTAAATTTTAAATGAAGAATGCGTAATTTGATTTTGTGCAAAAATTCTTTTAAAAAAATAAAATACTTCCTATTATTACGGAAAGCTTTTCAAAGCAATATTAGACTGACTTATTAGACTAATTATGTTATGTGTTAATACTACACCGAAATCAGTAGTTCTCAACAAGTTTTCTAATAAAAAATCATGCAATTTTTTCGCAATCTACACGGTAAACTGTACCGCTGGCTGGGTTGTTTAAATATACGTCATTTAGGATTCGCCTTGAAAATCGATTTTTATTTATAGATATCAGTACTTACGTTGGACCTGAAGTTTCAAAGCATCTCCATACATCGGCATGTACTAACATGTCTAATATATAAGGGGGGCGTTCTTTCTTTTTCAACATGCGTTCACTGAAAGTAAGTAATACGATTTTTTTATTAAAAATTGTTATAAAGAATAAAATTACTACTTACTGTGCCCTTTTATTGAACGACATCAACACCATTCCAGGAGGCGCCCCAAGACCTTTCTGGGTACCTCCACAGACAGCATCTATCTCCCATCTGTCCACGAATAATGGAGATACTCCTACCGAAACTACCGCATCGACTGATAGAAGGCAGTTGTACCTATAACACAGTTTTTAAATTTTTATTTAGGTATTAAACTAATTGAAACATTTTTTCTGAATAATCTATTTATTCAAATAAAATCAAACAATGTTCTTCGATACCAGAAATCGAGGTGTGCAGAAGATATCCAATCACATAGACAAGATTTCTAACTGTTGATATTGCGGAAAACAATTAACATTTAATTACACCAGCAATATGCAGTATGATATACATAAACACATACATTGATTATATTTAGACATATTTTTAGTTTTTATTTTGGACGATTATTTATTAGTTCTCGATGACGAGGAAATTTTTAAATTAAGGAAAATCATTTTAGTGAATTACTAAACAGAATAACGGAGAACGACGACATAAGCAAGGGTGCATATCAAACAAAATTGAAATTGGAAAATGAGAATACCGAAGCGGATATAGGAAAGGTAGATCGGTAACAGGGTAAAGGGTACTTTCAACAGTCACTATTTCCGCAAGACGACATATTGCTTGTGACAATTGGTAAGTGCTAGTAAATAACATTTTGACTCATTTTGCTCATTTAAATTCTTACGTTTCTTTATTTTTTTAGTTGTGATCTTTGTGCTTAACTTTACATTTCATTCGACTTTTTATCAACCATGAATCATCATGCTTTTAATAACCGTGAATATGCCGATATGCATTTTATTTATGGTTTCTGTAATGGAAATAGTCTGGCGGTTCAGAGTATCGGCAATATTTCCCTGATGGCAACCTTCTACAAGATTGAGAAAATTCATGCAAGAACGACGGAATCAGGAGCCCTAGCTCCAGAATATCGTAAATTTCATGGTTGTAAAAAAATCGAATGAAATAGATTCCGGAGATATAAACAAAAACATTTTTGTTTTAACAAATTCAACACCCTTTATCACTAAAACGGGTCTATTCCAGACCAATATTTATAAGGCAAACACATATTATTTTAAAGAGATCTATCTGTCCTCGAAGTTTCCTGTATAAAATTCGGACCACTCTGTATAAGGCATTGAAAGAGTTACAAATGGATGGAAAATTGATTAAGTTAGATGAAAATCACATTACAAGAAACCAGTAATAGGGTAAAAGTAGATAATAAATTGACCTGAAAAATTTATAGTTCAGCAATGAAGGGATAAGACAGGGAGACCTGCTATCTTAATTACTTTTTAATTGTGTTCTGTTCTACGCGAAAGAAAAGCTAATTTAATAATAAGCGGGTTACTTTACTGCAAAAGGCTTCAGTGTATAGCGTATGTAGATGATTTGGTACAAAATAAATAAAAGAAGCGACTTAAGGAATGGGATGAGAAATTAACGAAAATAAAACTATATTATGACATGGACAGAAAAAGAATTTGATGATCAAGAAACATTGAGATTAATTACAAAAGGAAAAATATACTGTTTCGAAGAAGTAAAAAGTTTTACTTAGATAGGGACGGAATTTGATAGAAAATCAAGTATACAAAAAGAAATACAAAGAAGAAGAATCATTGGAAAGCGGAGCTTAGGGGCATTAAAAATATATACAAATAACAAGAAAGTATCAAGCAAGTTAAATTCAAAATTTTCGGATTGTTCTCCGTTAAGACCTATCAGACTCTCGGAAGCGTGGAACAGCTATTAAAAGTTTGGGAAGAAAGTTACTTAGAAAGATATATGTGGGTATGAGGGTACAAGACAGATGGGAAAGTAGAAAGAATTGCAAGAATTTTAATTTTTGAACCTAATATTGTTGAAATAAAAGGGACAAATAAAATGGTTAGGACATAGTATGCCAAACTGGAAAGAAGGAACACATGATAAAAAAGTCTGGAAGAAAGCAGTAAAGCAATGGGTCTACCAGGCCTGAAGTAAAAAATACAATTAATTAATTCTTCTTCAAGAATTTTAAGATTTCTACTTTATTCTCAGTTCCAGCATATGTTTAGTCGTCGCATTCGAATTTGATAGTAATGGTTCATTGGACAAAAAAAAATCTTAGTGATATGATGTGATAAACTAAAATATTAGTGTTTCAACCATGATCAACAAATATTTTATTAGATAAGACGATAAATAAATACAACTAATCATTATGATAGACAAACATATTGGAGTAATGGTACTCTTTATTTATTTCGAAAAAATGAACGGTTTGCGAGATAATTCGGTTTTGAAAAAAATTGGTAACAAATACAACAATTAAAATTTATTTTTTTTTACATATTATTTCATGCATTTAATTTCTTTAACTTTATCAAGTCCAGAAATCTTTGAACGTGTTGGCTATACTTTATGAGCAAGTAGTGACCAATTAAAAATAACATTTGAAAAATAACTTACTTACAAGACATGCAACAAAGAACATTCAACAATGAACAAAGGTACCTAAATGTTACTTCGGTAGATGTTCAAAATGAGCACCCCGTACTTCAATGCACTTTCTAATCCTACGAATGTTTTCCCGGTGCACTTGAAATAATATTCCGTGATTATTGCGGAGATGGTCACAGTTCTGTGTTAGCCTCAGCAGAAGTTCCTCTCTACTATTTACGGGTGTTGAATAAACGTTATTTTTTAAATGACCCCACAGAAAAAAGTCTAATGGGTTTAGGTCGGGCGACCTAGGTGGCCATAATACAGGTCCGCCTCGACCTATCCATCGATCACCAAAAACATTCGTCAGATGTTGACGTACTAAACGATCAAAGTGGGGTGGTGCACCGTCATGCATGTACCACATTTCAGTTCTTATTTGAAGGGGCACTTCTTCTAACAAAATATTTAGATTTTCCTCTAAAAATTGCAAATAAAGAGCACCATTAAGTCTTTGCTCCAGAATAAATGGACCAATCAAATGATTCCCGATAATGCCAGCCCACACATTCACCATAAACCTTTGTTGGTAGCGAGTTTGAACTAAAGCGTGAGGGTTTTCTTCATCCCAGACATGTAGATTATGCGAATTAATTATGCCGTCTCTTGTAAAACCTGCTTCATCGGTGAACAAAATAGATGTACCAAAATTATGATTCCGAATATGATGCTGTAAAAACCAATTGGCGTATTGAAGTCTTTTTGGATAATCATCTGGAGACATAGCATGTACTTTTTGGATGTGGTACGGGTAAAGCAATTGTTCTTTCAGAGTTTCATGTACAGCCCATTTTGTAACATTGTTTTGCGCCGCAAGCTTCCTTATGCTATTTGAAGGATTATTAGCAACGTCTTCCAATATTTGTTCCTCTACATGAGGGTCTCGTACTCTCCTCGGGGCTCCTGCTCCACCACGGCGTGGCAAAAAGCTTCCTAAATAAAGGATTCGGAAGAAATTAGTTTCACTAACGTTTTTCACTATTTTTTTTTACCTGTTTCTCTTAAACTACGATCAACTCTTTCAAAAGTTTTTGGACTCGGCAAATGTCGACCCGGAAACCTTTCCTCATAAAGTCTTCTTGCCTCCACGGAGTTGCATAATGCTTCCCCATAAATTAGGTGCATATCAGCATATTCTGCACAGGAATATTCTTCCATTTTTAAATGTTATTTCTAACGGCTTAAAACGAATACCACAATAAAATTGAATTTTTATTCTGTCACGCGCCTTTGACAAGTACTTTAAAATCAACAGGGTCTAACAACGAAAACAATAGAAAAGAACTCCATGGAGACAAGAGCAATAATAATTTGTAGATGTATTTTGGTCATAGATGTTGATTTTACAAGAAACGGCATTATTCATTCCCTTAATTCACCACCAGTAAATGTTTATGGTGAATCTGTAGGCTGGCACTAGCGGGAATGATTTTATTGTAAAAAAATAAATTTTAATTGTTGTTGTATTTGTTACCAATTTTTTTCAAAACCGATTTATCTCGCAAACCGTTCATTTTTTCGAAATAAATAAAGAGTACCATTTTTAAAGAAAAACCTTCAGAGTATCTAATAATAATATTTTCAGTTTGATAAAATTACTTCTGTCAAAATTTTGAGAAAAATTGTGATAGGGCCAGTCCGTTTCTGGACACCTGATAATAGCAAAAAGTTGATTTTAGCATCAAATCGTAGAGCTCCATGTGTAATACAACGTACGAAAATTTTATTAAAATATACAGGGTGGTTTCAAAGTTATAACCCTAAACGTTAATTTCTAGGTACCCCTTTGACCCCCCATAACTCCGTTAGGGGGCACATTAGGAAAAAAATTATAGGAAGGACTAGTTTTATTTTGACCTCCCCTATACACTCCCGAGAGATTAGGAGGTACTTACCGGACACCCTGTATAATATAACACTTGGTGTTATTAGCTACTATAATGTAGGTACTGGAAATATCTTGTTTAAAACATTTTTTTGGTGATAACCTTTAGAAATTACCGGCCATACAACATTTAACAGTGGATAAATATTTGATCTAGTACCAGTATAAACTTTATTTTCGAATAATCTTCATACTTAGTATAATTTAATCATATCGCTGTTTTGTTGACATTATGCTTAAATTAGCCTTAAATTTATCGACAAATTGGTCTCTTCTGTTTTTTGTAAAGGTAACGAGTCAGTTAATTGATTTTGTGCGTTTATCAGAAAGATGAGACCCTCGAAGAATTGATCTAAAGAAGGAAGTCCAAATCTTGACCAAAAAACTACTTACTACAACCTCAGAATTGAATTGTGTTTTATGAAAAAAAGAGTTCCTGTACAAATTTTGCATTTCGCTAGATGTACAGGCATAGTTTCCAAAAATGTGCAATTTCTTCGCCACTATTATTTTCCAGTTTCTCTTGAATTTCGAATTCCTAACATTATAGTTAAAACCACATTTTAAAAAAAAATCATTGACGTAGAAATTGCAATGATTTTTTTGACATTTTCATAATAATTTTTATTTAAAATTGTACTTCTAATTTGTTTTTTTTTTTAACTAATTCTAATCTGGAGTTATATTAAATTCAATTAAAGTGACTGATAGTGGCAATATACTCGTAGGTATGTAAAAAGAATGTAATAACTTGAAAATTATCCGTTATTCTTAATGAAATACACAAAAGATTTTTTCCTAGGAACTATACTAGGAATTAAAAGCAATTTTCCGAAAATCCGGTGGCGTAGGGTTCTTAGAGATTTTTACCACTAATAAATAATAAATGGCTAGTTCATCATTTTACGCATGTCTTCTAAATAATATAATGGAGGCTGGTTATTTTAAATTTTATATAAATCTTATAATTTAGGTACAATTCTATATTGAAAATGTATTGTGTTTGTTTGTCTTATACGCAGAAATAAACAGAATAATTCCGCGGTGAACGCCTTCTAAAAAATCATTGGCTTCGTTGAGCGCGAACATTAATTTCGTACCATACAACGTATACTACGCAAGTGACTCATATTGAAATTGGTATGTATCTGCTTCTCTCCGTAGCTCTCCGTACGGCGGTTGTCATGGCAACGAGGCAGCCAACGCATGTGTAAACTACGGCCTGGGAGAACGAGTGATGCAAAAGTTGAAGCAGCATTTACGGATGGGCGGTTATTGAAAAATAACCGGTTATCGGTTAACCGGTTATTTTTCTTAGTCGGTTAAACCTGAATCGGTTAACCTCTACCTAAAAACCGGTTATTGAAATAACCGGCCCTTTTAAATTTTTGTGAGTGCTCTAATTCATCTCTGTATTAAAAAATTGTGTAGTCATGTATCTGATTTAAAAATTTATATTTTTTTACTTTTATTCAAACACCAAGCAGTGCTTATATTAATTTTTTAAAACTTTATCAAATGGTTAAGATTTCATATCGAGGAGAAATAAAACATTGATTTGACAGCTGAAATTTATTGTTATTTTGACACTTCATAATGACCAATATGTTTTGTCCCGTTAAGGAAGCCTAATTAGCGTAGTCCGACCCACAGACCACTAAATAGAATGTCCAGCCGACGATGGCTTAAGTCTGATCACAGCAAAATAAATATTTATTTATTTTATGTATGCTGTGGTCTGATCTACTATCAAGTTTAGGGATAGAGCACAATATACTTTAATCGTACAGTGAGCTAGAGCTAAAATTTTCACTCGGTCTCGGTAAAATAACCGGCACGCGGTTTTTGACATAAATAATCGGTTATCAGGTTAAATCGAAGTCGGGAAATAACCGGTTTTTGACCGGTTAACCGACACACAATAATCGGTTGTTCATTTAACCGGATTCATTTAAAGCCGTTTGACCTTGAAAATTTTCGCCTGCGGCGCTTTTTTTTTTAATCAATCAATAAATATGCTTCACTTATTCTCAATGTCACGAGCCGCCACTGGTGATGGTTCTTATATGAACACAAAATTTCATACGAACTTTATTTTTACGATTTCGCAGAAATATATTCAAATCGTTCTACATGAACGAACCTAAAAACTTATTTTTCTACCTCCTAATAAATTTTTGTTGACAATTAAATCTGTATATGTCTCATCATATCGGCCTGCATAAGACATAAATTTAATTGATAAATGTCCGGGCGAATTAGGTTTTTTTATACAAAATGTTTACTTTGTTTTGCACAATACATGTATTAAAATTACTGAATTTAACATAGAGTGAAATTAGGAGGAGGCTTAGACACTCCTAGTAACCCCGGTACCAATTGGTTCATCATTAAAATAGCGGAAGAACGGGACAGAGGAATCCGATGTAAAAAGAAGATAAACTTGTAGTCAATTTCAGCATTATTAAGATAAAGGAATGATGTAAAGGTATTGAAGAATGTTGCATTGGTTACAATAGAATCATCAGTTTAAAAAAATATATGTATCTACATATACATACTTCTGGCAAATTTTTCCAAGTCCTTCTAAAGGTTGTAAAATCCCCCCAGAAGATTCTCCGTGTGTCATAAATAAGGCAACAGGTTTGTGTTTAATAATTTGCTTCTCAAGTTCTTCAAAGGAATACACCTCGCCAGCTGGCAGAGTCAGTTCAATAACGTTGAGTTCTACAAATACAAAACATACACTACTTAAAAAAATTATCGCAACAAAATCTTTCATAGAAATTTTGCCATTTTTCTAATACGCATAGCTCAATTTCCATCGTATCAAGACGATTTTCTTTTAATTTTGTAATTAAAAAAAATCGTCTTGATGCGATGAAAATTGACGGAACTATGAGCATTAGAAAAATGGCAAAATTTGATGAAAAATTTTGTTGCGTAGAATTATATGCTGTATTTTTCGAAAATTTATAAATATTTTAATAAGGGAAATCTTACTATATCTTCGTCCCATATCAGCAACTTTGAAGCCCCAAATTCCGGCTTGAGCTACAATTATGGTGTCCCCAGGATCGGCAAGGTTCGTTATCATGGCCTCATTGCCGCCATTTCCAGAATATTGCGCTAGGAAGGTCATAGGATTCTTTGTTTGGTACACGTATTGCGTCATCTCTTTAATTTCCTTAGATAGCTACAATATTAACACACGATATTTAATCATACAGGGTCATTCATATAACATTGTACCATTAAGTTTTGACCCAAGTTTTAGCAAAACTATTAAGTCAGACTCTCCCATTGAACCACTGAGCTTATAAGAAATACATTGAATGCTGCTTTAATTATTGGTTGGGTAGATTCAATGGCCTGCAAATAACACTGATTTAAGTCCTCTGCATATTTTTCTGCGGGACTACGTTGAAAACTATCTTTATGAAAAGGAACCACTATATTTTGAAGATATTCGTAATAAAATAACTAGAAATAAAATTTATAAATGAGTACCACGAAATTCCAGTATAAGGATTGAATAAGTTAAAATGTAATTTTAAACTATGGACAAAACAAACTGAAGGCCGTTTTGAACATTTCTCACTTTCATTTACATATTTTTTCACAAGAAATAAAGTTAACCCATGGGCGATTCATATATACACAAGATATGTATTGCTAAAATGAGAGAAATCAATAATCGAAAAAGGCATATTTCAAAAATCCAAAAATATATAGGATGTTCCATTAGAAAACAAAAAGTTTTATTTACCACGTTATTTAGGACACCTTGTACAAAGTTCAATATCATCATAAAAAAATTATTTTTCTATACTTAAAAATAAAACAATTAAGGGGGTTGACATTTATAAACAATAATTCTGTATATATAAATTTTTTTTTTTTCGGCTAACAAATATGTCAAGTTTTTTTAATTGTTTTGGAGTGTCTCTGGTCTTGGCCAGAGACACTTGATAACAGATCTCATACGAAAAAACTGTCCAAAAAATAGAAAATTGCAAATATCTCTGAAAAAAGTAAATAAAATACAGGGTGTTCCATTTAAGTTAACAAAGTTATAGCTGTTTGAAGTTATCAAAATGTAACAGCAAAAATCAAACACCTAGTATTAAATGTTTTAATTTGTTGGTATACCATTTAGTGTTACCTATTACAAGTACCAAAAATCTACTTGATATCACGCTCCTGAAAAAAGCTACTAGCATCTCCGCGGACCCATAAAATTCATATTTTCGTTAAACAATTTTTTTTTCGAAAAACGGTGAGACCCGTCGATTTTTATTTGATCCAGGGCACCTTGTTATGTGTAAAATTTTTTTTTCGATAATCCACTTACAGCAACGATGACATAATTTTTTTTTAAATGACAACGCATATTTTTTTCGTTCGAAATTGATGACAGTGATAATTATCTAAACAACGGTGTGAAAATTTCGATGTCTTACATAACAATTTTTTTTAGAAAAATGCACCTTAAGTTCTTGAATGCAATAATTTGCTGTTTACGGATCAAATGCCTTAGAAAAAAATTTATTCGGCAGAAAGCATTTCAGATAACTTAAGTTGTAACTGGTGTTATGTAATTATTTGCGGAATTATTCATCATTTTATTACATTTTTTGCAAACCTTCATGACCCCCAATACTGTACTGCCTCAGCTCTAACCAGATTCAGACGTTTTGTCTCGAAAAATTCATCTTCAGTGTATTCGTTCCAAATTTATCTAAATTTTTTATTTAGATTTCTTTGTTTATTGAATTATCGTACACTGTACGTGTCGTCAGACCCTGTGAAATCCATATATTTATTTAAACTATTACCACCACGCGAACATTTATTATTATTAACTATTACCTCATCATACTCATTTATTGACCATTGATACAGTTATAAGTACATAGGTCACTAATCATGAATTAATAAAGTTAGATAAAATAGCTTGTTAGTAGGTACTTAAAATAGTAGTTACTTGTTAAAATAAAATAAAATAAAATGATGAATAGTGCTACACGATAATTGTTAGGAGTCATAAATTCATTCACGCTATAAAAGCAATTGTCAATTAGAAATTTTTTGGCCAATAAGTTAAATGCCCTGCAATTCATTTGCGTTACATTTTTAGTTGCATAATAGTTAACAAAGTTGTTGTAGATGTCTACTTGCGGTTTATTCATCTTTGACATATTGGTCCTAGAAAACTGCGGTATTAATCTATCAGCATTTGTATTTTCTAGTATTGTAGTTATGAAAATCCGTATGCATTGGGTAGTTGCTCAAATTCTGATGAATTACTTTTAAATTTTCAAATATACAGGGTGATTCAAAAAAACGCTGACAGACTTCTAGGGTAGATAATACATGTAAAATTAAGATGAAAAGTCTTAATAAACATAGGGTCGCAAATGCCTCCTTAACGAGATACAGAGCGTCAAAGTTTCTGTAAAATTAAACATTGTCTGCAATAATTCCAAGATGCCTGAACATTTCTATTTCAAATTTGCTATGCGTAGTTAGCACCTTAAGACCAATGTTTGATGTACTGCTCAAAATTTTATGAGCAGCAGTGTCGTAGAGACGGGGTCAACGTAACCCTTTTTTAAAAATATTTTCTACGTCACTGCTAATTTTGTCAAACGGCCACTATTTTCGTGTAAAGTGTTCAATTGTCTATCGAAATGGTCTCTTGCAAAATTTTGATACAGTTTTTGAGTAATTAAGGTTTCAACTAAGTTTGTCAGAATGAAATAACGTAAACAATAAACAACAAATTTAAGTGTGAAAATGTAATGATAAAAATTGTATAACTGGAAATAATCCATCCACCTCACGATTCGACACACGTTTCAACCCTCCGAGCTAATGATCTTCTTATTCTTTCAAATATCCCGGGCGTATTACGAATTGTTTGAAAGGCTTGTTGAATTCGTTGCCATAATTCATCAATCAAATTTACTGGAGTTACGTAAATCAGCTCCTTAACATGACCCCAAGTGTGGAAATCCAGAGGATTTAAGTCCGGTGAACGGTCGGGCCATTGGATTGGACCACCACGTCCAATCCACCGTCTAGGGTATGTCATATTTAAATAATCTCTTACTTGTCAAGCGAAATGTGCTGGAGCGCCGGCGCCGTCATGATAGAACCAAAGAATCATCCGCACATCCAGTGGTACTTCATCTAACAAGCTGTTCAAATTATTCATTAAAAAATTAAGGTAAGACTGGCCATCTAGTCTATTTGGTAGCCTAAAAGGACCAATGAGCGTGTCGCCAATAATTCCAGCATGAACGTTAATGGAAAACTCATGCTGAAAATTTGTTATTCCAATGACGTGGGGATTTTCGTCGCTCCATAAATGATAATTGAGGAAGTTAATTATTCCTCGTCTCGTAAACGATGTAAATAAGATATTCGCGGAAAAAATGGAATTCTCTGCAAGCCTGCCAAGCAGCCACTGTGACCACTCTAGTCTTGGTGGGTAATCTTGAGATAGTAAATGTTGAACACGTTGAAAGTGATAAGGGTGCAATTGTTGTTCGCGAAGTGTTCTCCAAACAGATGACTGTGACATGTTTAAATTTCTAGAAATTTGTCGGGTACATAACATTATTATTTTCTATTGCTGTCAGGACCATTTCCTCAGATTCCGGAGTTCTAGCATAACGCCGTCGTCCAGAATTAATTTTTATAGCTTTTAATTTACCCGTTTCTCTTAATCTTCTATAAATATTATCAAACATTTGCCGATTTGGTTTCTTCGTGCAGAAAACATTTCTCTGAACCGCCTAACTGCATCACGCGAACCAAAATTCGCTAGCCCATAACATAGATGCATATCTATCATCTCTTCAAATGAATATTCGTAATTTATTGAAAATTGTTATTGAAAATAGTGAAGTAGCTGAAGTAATTTAAATAACCGTAAAAATGACAAAAAGAAGCTTATAAGCTAGTTTACTTAACTCACTTGTACACTTATTATTGACATTAGTGACAGCCGATGTTTAATTTTATTTTGAATAGTACAAGCCTACTACGCGAAGCTAAAATGAATGAAAATAAAATTGAGTTCACAAATTTTCTACAAACGTGTTTTTCTTAAAAATGGTTGCTTTAATCAAAATTTTGCAAGAGACCAATTCGATAGACAATTGAACATACACGAAAATAGTGCCCTTTTGACAAAATTAGCAGTGGCGCAGAAAATATTTTTAAAAAAGGGTCACGTTGACCCCGTCTCTACGACACTGCTGCTCATAAAATTTTGAGCAGTACATCAAACATTGGTCATAAGGTGCTAACTACGCATAGCAAATTTGAAATAGAAATGTTCAGGCATTTTGGAATTATTGCAGACAATGTTTAATTTTACAGAAACTTTGACGCCCTGTATCTCGTTAAGGAAGCATTTGCGACTCTATGTTTATTAAGACTTTTCGTCTTAATTTTTCATGTATTATCTATCCTAGAAGTCTGTCAGCGGTTTTTTGAATCACCCTGTATAAATACTTGGGAGAGGCAGAATTTGCAATTTCTTAAAAAATTAATTGACAAGGTGTATTTGGTTTAACTCCATCAATGATTCTCACCCCACAACATAATTCCATAGGACAAATAAGAATGAATTAATGCATACTTCTACTTTTAATATCCTGCTGAAAAATTAAAATCGAATCACCCCCGTGCAACGTGCAAAATAGTGCACCAAAAAATTCAAATTGTAATAGTCCCAAAACAAATGGTTCGACAGCGCCTGCTTTATGTATACTTAAAAGTACATATAATTCACTATTCTGTGCACAGGGTCAGCTCTACAACTGAAAAAATGGCGAAGTCATGAAGTGTTAGAATAAACCCTAATGTTTCCGATTTTATTGGACAAAAAACTAAAAAAATACTTTTTTTGCATAAAAATGTTTATAAAAAATTAATTAATGATAAATTGGAGTAGGAAACATATAAGCATATATCTACAGACTGTCTTTTATATAATGGCACAGTCCGTTTGCTACTAGTATTTTTGTCACAAAATCCCTGATTTAATGCTTTATTGATTGGCCTATCAATATACTAATTCCTAATACAAGATTAGGCAGAATGAAATATCTAATTTCTAAGTTAGTTCGTTTCATAATACGGTTAGCCACAAATTTAAATCAAGTAACCATGCTTTCGCGCTAAATGGAAGTTAAAGACAGTGGCCAAAGCGATTGCGAGAAATGTCAATATGTGATTTTGTCAAATATTCAACAAGTTTTGTACTATTGCTTCCTGTGCCAGAGAAAAAACAAAAGGAAGAAATTTTAATTCCTACAAAATTCAAATCGTACAAAAACTTTTGCCACAAGATTTTGGAACAAGTGTTGCGAACGTTTCGAAACGTTATTTGCTGAAAACCCGGATGTCTTTGATTGCTTGCTGATGTCAAATGAAGTTCATATTCATCTGTCATGTTAACAAACTGATCTTTCATTATTGAGCAACGCAGAATCCTCAGCAATCGCACGAATTACCACTTCATACAGAGAAAATTACTATGCAATATAGGAAAACGAATTCTCTGTTATATTACATCATAACGTTCGAATAACAACTTCGTAATGTTGAGACTTCAAGAGTGCAGCATGGAGGGGGTCATTTAAATGATGTAATTTTAAAATAAAATTTCCGTAATTTCTCAAGAACCGTTTGTTTAATATTTGAATAAACAATTAATCACTAATTAAAATGACTAAATTTAAAATGTATATTTCATTCTGCCTAACTCTTTAAATATAATGTTAATAAGTAACTGCGAAAAAATAAGTGAAGAGGTGAAACTTAATTGAAATTTGGGATGGATTCTCGGGCGGACCTGTCATGTAAAAAAATATCTCCACCTTCCTTTCGGATTTATGACCCTTCATATGGGGAGAGAAAAATTTTGTTATTTTTTCATTAAATACATATTGAGAAAGTTACACAAAATTAAATTACGTAAACTGTTGCTGCTATGGAAGAGGCGTTTACTGAATAATCTATTAATCTTTCCGTTTAGTTACAAAAGGTATAAGTAACCACCCCTACAAATAAGTTCTTGCGTAACTTCTTCGCCAAATGTCACAAATATTTGCTGAAAATTGCAAAATTTGCAGGACATTACAAAAAGTGCGGACACAATTGCAGGCAGTTGAAGAAATCGCAGACAATTTTTTAATAATGAGGAAGTTGCATCAAATTTTCTTTTGAAGCAAAATTTATTTAAAGTGCAGAAAATTACTATAAAAGTATGTTTCTATATGTAAAACCTCTTTAAACTTAACTATTAATATGTAATTAATTATTAAAATATTGAATATAATTAGGTGGGCGAAAACGGCCCCTAATTGGTCAAGCAATTTGTGACGTCAGGATCCGATATATGAGTGTTAAGATTGTCAAGACGTGGGAGGTCCAGGACAGAAGGAGGCCCCACGAACCGTCTAATCCGGCCGCGCTGGCGGTCCGGAATGACGGGGAAAGGGCCTACCTCTACGAGGCGTCCGGGCCTACAGCGATGAAGTGGGTAAAGAGCGATAATCCCGCTCGACCCCGCTCCATCCGAGGTCATTTTTCCTGCCAAGGATATTGGCGACGCGGGAGGCTGGCGCTGTCATTGCATTGCTGTCATTTAATCTTGTGTTGAATTAGTTTGTGTTCGCATTGAATTCTGAGTAGTTTTGAGTAGTTAGTTTTACTGTATAAATTTAAAGACAAGTTTCGTTAATTTTCATAGAGTCTACGAACATTTTCACAATATCTACCCAGGCAGCTTTAATGCGTGGCGGCTTCAGGGTCAGAATTACAACACGAGAACGTGAAAATCATAACAGTGTCTGAACATAAATATTATGGTACCCGTGTGTAGTTCCAATACACTAACTGCCCCCAACAAACTATTTAATGTACCAAAGGATGAGAAAATGAGGAAGAAATCATGCAAACATATTTTATAGAACATATTTTTGACAAATTATCAGATTGCTCTTGGACAAATCCAGTTTCTGTAGCCATGTACAGTTTTTAAAATAATTAACAATATTGTGTTAAGTAAAAGTAAATAATATAAAATCTATCCGGCACACGTAGTTTGCATAAACACAAATGAGTAAGAGTGAGACAGACTACAGAACACGACTACACGACTCGTTTAATTTGGACCGATATGATACCGGATCGTGACGTAAGAGTTTGTTTAAGACTGCGTTTTAGTGCATAGAGAATTATTTTGAATTTATATATTTTTTTATAGGAAAACTAGATATTAATTAAAAATTTAAAATTTATGTGGCAATTGACTTTTTACGATGAAAGGGATTTAATAAGAAAAGAAAAAAAATGTGAAACTTCCCCATTGGAGACAATTGCCAAAATTGCAGGAAACTATATTTACACTATCTTGTACACCAAAGTGACTATCGCTTTATCCATTGTGAAGGGTCAGGTCATGGCCAGCTATATATAGGTACACTTACTAACTTTTTACTTTTTATTGCAAAGCAAACTATATATTCTGGAAAGCCTGATTTCTCTCAAAAAATTGTGGAGGGTCTCTTCAGTTCCAAGAAAAAGTGTAGCTTAGATATCACGACTTGAAAACCACATCTCTATATAAGGGATTTAAGAAACACAGGTTTTTTTTTTCAATTTTGGCTGTTTTCTATTATGCCCTATAACTTTTTTTTATTGGTGAAAATATTTGATTTACTTCGGTATGGAACTTTTTTATCACAGTTTTTTATGAAGAATCCAACGGCATATGCAATATTTTTCTGTATATTATACTTAGTATAGAATAGTTTTTCAATTATATCACAATCTTGTATTTTTTTAAACTGAATACAAGTTTTCGGTTTTTGAAATCTGTTTAAATTTTCTTTCAAAGAATACATGCCAATAATTATTTTCCTGTTATTCAAAAAATGGACGGTATACTGAATTGAATCAAGAAACAACTAATTTGCAACAATGTCGTTTTTGGTACATAACCTTGAAAAATAATATTTCTTGTAAGTATCGTGTGTCATTTGAAAGGTTTTATACAAATTTCAAAAATCGAAAAATATGTGCTCTTTTAAAAAATATACGTATGAGTTTGAATTATAAATGAAAAATGAGAAGTTATAAAAAAAAAGTTATAAACAAAAAAGTCATAAAGCATTATAGAAAGTTGGTCAAAAGTGTAAAATGCTCTGTATCTCAAATTGTATTTCAAGTAAATATTTCCTATATTTCCTGGAAATAAAAATGCCAAATTTAGTCCACAAGAAAGGGAGTAAAACTGAAAAAGTTGAATTACAATGCTATAACTAAAATTCTTTCGCGATTTCATGATTTTTCGATCTTTCAGGATCATTTTCCTTTTTTTATTTGAACTTACCTCGAAGTAAGTTCTGTTGAAGGCAGTGAATGGTTGAAATGTCATGGCTTGTAGTACATTTGGTGAACAATTGCTGGGTCCTGCCCCGAAAAGCCTGAAGGGCGTAAGTCGGAAAATTGGTCCGCTTTTATAGGGATTCGGCACGTCCAAAATCACGGACATCCTGGCAACCGTTCGAAACCGATCTGAGGAAACGACTGAAAGCTATGTTGCAAATGTTATCTATTTATTGAAAAAGCTCCTATCATTGTGCAAGTTAAAATGATTACACACAGGACCGGATTGATGTAATTTGTTTTAAGATACTTTGGCTTTTTAGGTTTTATCTGACATTTTCCACGAGCATTCCGCTGGAAATTAGTCGAATTTGTATTTTCTAATGCAAAAGTTCTTTGCATAAATTTTTTGTCTCTTCTCTTAGCTGAAGTCTAATATAAATAAAAGCTATAAATAAATGGAAATAATAACCTCAGTCATGAATATCTATAAATTTATTGTTCTTTCATTAATTACTAAAGACACACTGAGAGAATTTCTTTGTTACGGTTAGTAAAAATCCATTAACCGTAGCAAAATATGTGCATTAAATAGGCGCCAAGTGAGTTGCCTTCCTACCACAAGAAAAACTGTTTTGCTGGAAGGAACTCACTTGCAGTAAGTAGACAGTTTTGCTATAATCTCTTTGCTACCTCAAGTAAGTCAACTCATTAACCACAAACGACTCAACTCATTAACCCCAAACGAGTGAACTCATTAACCCCAAGCGAGTCCTCATTAATCCTAAGCGAGTCGACTCATTAACCCCAAGCGAGTGAACTCCGTATTTACTATTTTTCGGTGTTGTTGGCTCTCCTCACTCTTTCGTGCACCCATGCAATGCAACTTAAATGTTGTACATATTTTCAAACAAGCATAAAATGAAAATCCCCATTCGAGAAATAAGAGTTTGTATCCAGCCTGCATTGTGTGCATGTAATCACGCATGCATATAAGTTTTATTGCATACCTACGCAAATACTCTAATTGAAAACTTTCTGTCGGTTGTTAGACAACTGAAAACTGACTCAACACTCGATCACAAAACATCTATTTATCATAAAAGACCCATCGACTAACGATTGACGAACCTATATCCAGTGCTTACGTGTTACAGCAAAATGGCGATACCTCTAACTTCTCTATGGACTAAACCATGGTCAGTATAAGGCACGCGTAATCGCGCATGCGCACTGAGCCGAATTCCGGTTTATTCTGGAAATTATTAGTGATGGGAATAATCGATTGAATTTAATAATCGAGAGGTTACCGTTCGAATTAATTTTATAATCGAATGATCATTCGAATGATATATAATCGAAAGTCCACTTCGAAAATTTCCGACCTATCCCAAATTATATGAGAAAAAAAAACGAAATGAATGACTTTCGCATATTACGGCATTTCTTCGTTGTCAGTTGAGTGGTTCATCAGCATGTATTTAAAATGAATAGTCGCCGCCTAAAGAAATCCATTGTTTGGGTTTTTGAAAAAAAATTAATATATAAAAAACATAATTTTTGTATTATTTTCATTCATATGAATTTCTATCTTTGCTAAATAAAGCTCCCTTCTCAACAGCCCTTCAAAACCGCGCGATGCCACTCATAAAATTACTGCATATCTTTTTTATGCGGTGATAATCGATTGTTTCATCCATCCTCTCGGTCGTCTTATCTCGAGGTTTTGTATCTCGTTAGAGCGTTATTGGAATAATCGAAACACCTGCGCTCTCGTTCGAGCAGCGCGTTTGCGTTATTCGGTGATGACGAGTGACAATTGACGTTAGTAAGTAATGCTGTGGCCACTGTCATTCGTCTAAGAATAATCGAATGAATTTATATGATCACTCGAGATATCTCGAGAGATTTTCATAATCGATATAATCGATAATTTTCATTCGAGTAGTCCCATCACTAGAAATTATTAAGTGAGGCCTCAGTTACAGTAAGTGAGCCCTAATTTGCTACAAATAAGGACTGACTAACCCCAATTGGATCAATTCTAAAAAAGTGCATTCACTTACCCGAGCAAAGCAACTCACTTGGGACAGATAGACAGTCGACTAAAATAAAATTTCAACTGAACTATCATATAGCCACAAGACTTTTCTTTGTTGTGGTAGCAAACACGTTTCAGCAAAACGTATTTACTTGTGGCAGCATGAATTTTTTTCTGTGAGAGCAAAAATTTTACCTACTGTAGCTAAAATATCTTAGCAAAGCTCCTCACTTGGTGGATTTCTTTCAGTGCACATTTTATTTCTTTTTCTGTCCATCCTTGGACGAATAAAATACATATTGAGTATTGCTGCTATTAAAAGCGCCCTTTTTTGATCTACAATGATTAATTCCATCTTCCAAAGCACTGGCAAAAGTTCCACTAGATCAAGGTTTGCGTTTGGTCCCAAAAAACCTACTCACAGCTTTGTTTAGTGTAGTTCCCATACCTAAACCCAATTCTATTTCATGTCTAAAAAATATCAAACAAAATTAAATATACACAAAGGCCACGATAGATTTAGTTTCTAATAAAAACGGAATTAAAATAGATTATGGTTCAGTCCTATTCAGCAAGTAGTTTTGTCCTTTTTAGAAAGTCCAAAAGCTTCCTTGCCGACACTCTTCTCAGTTCCTCAGCAACTCATTCGTTCTTTTCTGCAGAAGACACTCGATAAGCCCAGTGTTTTCTATGTTCTTTCTCAGTCCATTTGCCCAGAGCCCCCCTAACCACACTGGGAGATGTGCCATAGAGGATTCTGGACCAACGAACTGTATTTCAGACTCCTTTCTAGTAAGGTAATATTCTTTCTCATCTCTGTGAATGCCTTTATGTCCTAGCACCCAACACAGTCTAACTGTATTATTGGTTGTCAGTTCAGTCAGCATTTGTAAACACTCCCACACAAGTTTTGTGTTTATTAAGGTATAGCCATATGAGTAACTAAATAAGAGGGTTTTATTCTGTGTATTCTGTCGACAGCAGCGGCATAGTACTGCCATCTGTAGCTGGTGCAGCAAACGACACACTCGGAAACCACAACCATAAAATAATTAAGGAAACTGCATTGGAAAACGCAATTAGAGTAACCATTAATTCTGCTATCTAATAGATGACGCTGCACCATAATAGCGGTAAATTTAAATGTAATAAAATACACAAAGAATAAAAAGTGTTTCATAAGTAATAGATGGCAAAACAGTTATTAATAGTTTATACATTGAAATTAACGTGAACCGTTAACAGCTGTTCCATGACCCGTTACTTATGAAACACTTTAGTTATTACTTGGTTAAATGAAAAAGTTAAAGCAGTGATACTTAAATGTGTGGCAAATATACAAATTCATTTTGTTATGTATTCGAAAATATTTAAGTATCAAAAAAATGTACAGGGAAACTTGTAATTATTATTTTTTAAAGAAATAACCATTAAAAACTGCAAATTTTAAAGAATTTGAAAGAATTATTTACCTGCCTTTATGTAAAATGCATTGCACAGTGACTTGACAAAAATTATGGTTAGATACATTTGTTTCGAAGTAATTGGTTTTCATCAGTACGATGTAATATACTACACTTATACTACTTATAGCAAATAACAATTTTAAACATATGCATTTCGGTTTTTTAAAAGGTGGAGGGGAAAAATCATCCTAAATTGAAGTTCGACAGCTCGTACTATGAAAATTCTGTTATGTTACATTAACAAATTGTTTTGCTGAATGTTGGATACTATCCGAGGCTTCCGAGGTGATATTATTACAATTAGTACGTGAACTTGTAGTTGATCCTAAAAATAATGTTGGCACAGCACTTCCTATCACTGTTTTTTAAACATTTTTTACTCAAAATGGTCTTCCAAAAATAATGATGTGTTTGTCGGAGTAAATTCTGAATTACATCATTTTCTGATTCTATCCACAGTAATTGTCTGTCTTTTGTAATTCTGAAAAAACTTTTTTATTTCTATATTCATATAGTAAGAAATGCTTTTGCAATTTGGAGCACTACATTGACGTTTAGTTCTACCAGATACTCATTTTGGATTAAAAAAGCGAATAAAAAACAGTAAGGCAGTTCAAACGATTGATTCAATAAATCCCTTATTATATTAATCTAAAACAAAACAAATTTATTAATGCATAAAACGCGGCAACCTACCTGTATTCCTGAAGATAAATAACCTCAAACATCAAACAATCTACATTGATTGAAATTTCAGTCAACGCACAACGCATTCTATTTCTGTTGATTGAAAGATTGGAAATACAGATTCGATCTGGGGTTGCGGATTTCTGTTTAATAATTTCTATAAAGGACAATGTTTTGCTGCACCAACGTGAGATGGGCTCAGTGAATGCATGTTCCGTCCGGCCTATCCAAAAAAAGCCTCTTATTTATTTACTCTTATGGGTATAGTTAAACATAAATTGTTTTTTGTTTGCTTTTTTTAAAGATGAATATACTAATGAAAATGTTTGATTTTTGGATAAAGGTATTATGACTTCTAACTACGCCAATGAAGGATTTGTAGATAAAAGTTAGTTACTTTGCTCTAATCTCTTAATAATTAGAAACACATGACTCTGGAAAGATTAAATCTATTGCCTTTATTACCTTCTGTAAAAATAAAAGTTAATATGTGCAAAGCTTCAGTATATTATAATTTTCATATTTGCTCCGCTGCGTAAAATATCTAAAATTTTATTTTGGACTTCTGATCATTACCCTTTTAACATTATATGGAAAAATAAGAGGAAATCCTTCATGTCCCTTATAAGTCCAGCACCACATATTACTTTTTAACAAAATTTTACATATAACCAGGTTTAAAGTTTTTATTTTCAATATGATTTCACATCCACTCTTTGAAGGTTCATAACCCTTGGGAACCGTTTTAAGAAAAATCGTGAGTCTTGATTTTTTTTTTAATTAAAATAATCAATTCCAAAAATTTGCTCTATATATTTTTTATTACCACCCTGTATTAATACGATTTTGGAAAACGATTATTGCTATGCAGTCAGTTATTTTTAGTACAATAAGAATTTTTTACTTTCCAATGAAAAGTAAGTATTCAGAAATTATTAAAATTATTTTTGGTTTAATTAATTTTTTCTGATACAAAATAATGCTAATATTGAAA